AGATCCATCTGTATACATTTCTAATAACTATTTCATTAATTCCAAAGACGCTCTTGTACATACTGTGTAACATTTCCTATTCTCCCTTCCTTTATTAAATAATTAATAGTTATGTCTACATCAGCCTCAGGCAATAACCAATGAGGGCTAGATGGCCAGTAGACAGAAGGCGCTGTTTTCCTTTCATTAGGTTTCTGCATATGTCTTAACAGAATGTAATATCTATTAAGCCTGCTCTCTTTCTAAATTCCAAACACTCTGCTGAGACTGTACTAAGAGCTGATCCAAAACTTTTTTTTTTTTAAAACAATTTAATGCCAATTTTGCACAAACCTCCCCTGCTTCCACATACAGCGACAGAATTGGCGTTGTCTGGAATGCCCCAGTGCATATCCTCAAAGCCCTAGCTCACACCACATCTAATTTATTAAGGGTGGATCTTGCTGCCGATCCATATGCAAGACACCCATAATCAAAAACTGATCTTATCATAGCTTTATAAATCATCAGCATAAGCTTCCTGTCTGCACCCCAAGAACACCCAGAACACCTCATAATATTGATAACACTTATTTACCATTCTACTTACATGTTCTTTATACATTAACTTTTCATCCATCCAGACACCAAGAAACTTGAAGATCCTGACTCTCTCAAGAGGTTCCCAATACAACTTAAGGCTTATATAAACTTATGTTCCTCTTCCTGCCAAAAACTATAGACTTTTGTTTTTGTCAATAATAACCTAAAGCCCCACTTTTCACTTCAAGCCTGCACCTTATCCAAAGCCCACTGCATCTGTTTAAATAAATACCCAGTATTACGGCCTCTTTTCCGCATTGCTCCATCATCTGCGAACAAAGATTGCTGAAATCCACTTCCTACCTCATCGAACATATATTGAACAGGACTGGACTGATGACACTACCCTGTGGAGTCCCATTATCTACAATCACAGTCAGAAAAGCTCCCTCCCACTCTTACCTGAATACTCTGTAGCCTTAGAAAGTCCTTCATCCAGTTAATCATTCTACCCCGAATCCCTGCATCATACAGCTTAATGACTACTCCTTCTTTCCACAGCATATCATAAGACTTCTCTATATCAAGAAACACACCTACCACCACCTCTTTATTTACAAGGGCTTTCTTGATATCATCGTCCAACACTAGTAGGACGAGTAGTTCCACGACCAAGTCTAAAGTCATTCTGATATGTGGAGAAAAAAACTTTCTTTTCTAATCTATATACCAACCTGTCAGTAACCATCCTTTCCATAATCTTACAAATGACAGCTGTGAGTGCAATTGGCCTATATGATCCAGGGCTTTCAGCTTCCTTACCGGGTTTTAAAATTGGCACAATAACGGCATGTTTCCCTTCAGCTGGAATTGATCCTTCCTCCCACATTGTATTTATCAATGCCAGCACCTCCTCCAATGCAAACTCATCCATATGCTGAAAGATATCATATCCCAAGCCATCTCTCCCAAGAGTAGCGTGTCGCCCTCGTCTTATTACCCTCTTTAGTTTATGCGTTCACGTTATTCCTGTCAAGTGCCCTTCCAGCTCAAGTATTAGCTCCCTCCTAATCAAACCTTCTCTACCAACATTCCTACCAGTATGCACTTGCTGGAAACTCCTAACCAACGGATCAGCCTTGTCCTTATTACTTACCACTTCACTACTCCCTTCTACCAAAACAGGAATAGAGAAACCTCTATGAATTCCAGCCATCTGATGAATCATATTCCAAACCTGTTTAACAGTAGTCTCAGAACCTAAAGTACCACAGAACTTCTGCCAACTCTTTCTCTTCACACATTTTATATCCTTTCTAACGTCAGCTCGCCGTTTCTTATATTCAATAACAAGACTCTCAACAGGACATTTGCGAAGCTGCCTATAAGCTCTATTTCGAACCCTCACAGCCTCATCACAAGCCCGGTTCCACCACGGCACTACTTTGCTCTCTTCAACTAAATTATCTATTTCTAGCCGTAGACAAGGATTATAGAAGTTAATCAATGAAAACCTACCTGCTGAGCACCATACCTCAATTGCTACACACTCAAGTCCTGAGGTTACATTGACTTGCCTATACTGAACACCTTTTTTAACAAAAATTGCACACCCTCCTCCAGATGTATTTCTGTCCTTACGTAAACAAATGTAACCTGGTATCACAAAATCTAAAGTTGGTTTAAGCCATGTCTCCTATATGCATATTAGCTGTGCTTTTTATTTGAAACCATGCACAAATTTCTTAAAATTCCTGTCTATTAGCTACCAGACTTCTGGCATTCCACTGCAGGATACAAAACTAACTCATCATCATCATCTTCCATTTGGTTTCCATTATTCTTTCCCCTTCTGTCTGTTGAGAACACCTATCTATGGAGGGTAGCTGGCTCAATCCCTACAACCCCAAGACTTCTCTCAGCAGGCCTTCACCACACTTCACACTACAATCTGATTTGTTCTTAGTCTGCTTCATGTCACACATTACTTCCACAATGAAAGCCAGGAATTCCATCTTACTCACCACTGCTGAATATTCTGTTACACAGGCTGGCGGACGGCATTCCCCTTCTCTCCTCCTTATCTCCCTCACCTCCCCACTTGTTGCAACCTTTTTAACAGCCTCAGCATTAGACACCCCTTTGTTGAGCTCCCTATATTGCTGCACCCTCATAGCCTGCTTATATTGCTCACATTCACGATTTCCAGCAATGTGCCCTCCACTGCATGAACCACACTTTACCACCTTCTCCGTACACTCAGAAATCTTGTGTTCACCTCCACATTTCCCACATCTTCTACTTCCTCTACAAGCAGCTGCAATATGTCCATACCTCTGCCATTTAAAGCACCTCAAAGGTGGCCTTCTGTGTGGATGCACTTTAAATGACAAGCATCTTAGGAACGCTCATTCTGGGAGGGTTCTTTTAAATACTGCATTAAAATCCTGTTTACTTTATATACTATTCCCCTCTTGTTATAATACGGACCTAAAGTTGGACTATATTTTCATATAAGCTATTAATGTTAAGTCCAGTGGTAGTATAGGCTACTTAGGCCCAGTGTAAAAATGAGGAAAATGGAGAAAGTAAAAAAAAAAAAAGAAAATTATCTATAGTATGTTTTACTATAACATTACAAGAAGCTGGTTGAGGTGGAGCTTACCATAATATTACTATTTGGTAGTTCAACCCAGAAACATTTCTGTAATTATGTAGAGGTGTAAAAAAAAAAAAAAAAGTACAATATTCCCTGTGAAATGTAGTGGAGTAGAGGGGAAAAGTAGCTTTTTATTGCTGTACTATTCCATCAAATGGAAATATTCTATAGGTCCCCAAATTCACCCTGACATATCTTAAGTCTTTGAAAATGTTTGGATCTCCACTAGAATTTAAAATAAAATTACGCAGGATTGAACATGGTTTGGATGCTCAGCATGCATTTTTAATGGATAGTAAAACACTCAGATGGCAGTAGATGGCAGTATTTCACACCAGAAAAAAATTAATATATTATGAATATTCAAGTGATTATCTCAAAAGCATCCCAGGTGCAAACATCTAATGCTATTTATTAAAAGCATTTATTTATCCCTAAAATACGTTAAATGAGCCATTATGCAAAACAATTGTGTTAATAAGGGGATGTTTACTGGTTTAGACACAGAAGCTCATCTGATCCTGGCAATTCAACCCGCAACAGCCAACAGTTCATTCATTTCAGCCACAAATTGCCAGACTCTTGATTGCAAATGCTAATGTCATGTTTCTAGGAAGAACTCAAGGTGAATGTTAGGAATGATGTTTGTTTGGGTGTAATAGAAAGTTTCATCTTGGACTGTTCACTGAATACCTTTTCTGACGTTATCAGGACAACTAAAAGCGAATTTAAAATGATAGCACCCCCTCTCTGTCTCCAGAGCATGGGACTCCTACTTAGCCCCTATGCAGCCTGCAGGAAACTATTTTATTTCCCACTGCTCTTGGTTTCCGTGCAGTGAGGATGTTTGCTGCACCATCCATGAGTTATTTATCTGTGTCAGCACTCAGCAGGGGGGTGGGATACCCATTCTGAACAGGCTGGTCATCACGGCTGGCTGTTCGGGAGGAAGCTCTCCAACTGCTGGCTGCAAAGGCTGACTGTCAGTTATCTCAGAGGAGGTTATTATTACACAGATGACAATAAAGAATTTTTGTCAGAGGAAGAGTGTAAGGCAGAAAGAGAAAGAAACAACATGACAATGGCCCCATGCATAAATCCAGCTCCATAAAGAAATGTATTTCTAAATAAGTGTGGAAGAACTGGACTGGTCTGCAAAGAGCCCCCACCCCTACCTCATCCAACATCTTCGGATTTGAACTGGAAGGACTACAAGCCAGGCCTTCTCACCCAACACCAGCGCTGGATCTCACTAATGCTCTTGTGGTTGAATCGGAGCAAATCCCTACAGCCAGGGTCCAAAATCTTGTGGAAACATTGTAACCAGAAGAGCGACGGCTAGTATAGAAGCAGATTAATGCTAATGGTTATTGGTAATGAGATGTTCACAAATAAGTTTAAAGTGTCCACATACTTTAACATATAGTTTAATATAAACCTTGTAATGCGTTATTAGTTTCCTCTTAAAATCAATAATACCCCCCCCCCCAAAAAAATAACAATACATAATAACATACAGATGTTGGTAAATATTTCAGACTACCTATTTATCTCCATAGAGGTGAAATGAGACGTATTTTTCCACCTGCAAGACTTTGACAAAAGTTCCTCTGTTTTCCATCAGATTTTATCCCACTGGACCACTTATCCCCAACAATTCCAAAACAGATCAAGGTCTGCAGGCCTGCTGTAGACAGAAACAACCTCCCCCCCCCCCACACACACACACACACACCTCCCATGACCTCCCCAAATCTACTATTTTCCCCATCCCTTTTTTTCTCTTTTCCTTCTTCCTCCTCCACCAGTCCCCTCGCTGTCACAGTTTTTCCAGTTTCTTTGGCTTCAGGACCCTCCCCCGTTAGATGCGACTGGTCTCTTTCTCTTTCTTTGCACTGTTTATACTGCTTGAAGATTAGAAGTGTGTGAACCCCTATTTTCTTCTGAATTTCGTCCTTGGGAAGTTGGTTTCTAACTGCAATACTAGAGCGACACATAATCTGGGAGTTCTTGGCCGGCAAGGTGAGTAAAATGCTGTAAATAAATAAAAAAAAAAAAACCCGCGACTGTCACGGAGGCATTGATGGTTTATTTGAAAGCCGACGATTTTATGACAATTACGATGACACCTTAGTGGTTATCGACTGGACAGACCCAGTTTACTGTGTATACTGTATGGGAATGTGTTGTTATGGAAAATAGTGCAGCGTGTGTTAACGCATTCCCAAAAATGGTGATGCAACTTAGACCATTTCGAGTGCAGTTATTTATACTTACACGAATGTTTCGTTTGCTGTGGACGCAATGTGCTAAAATGCCTACAATTTAGCACATTTCTTCTAATATTAAAATCCATTTAAAATGCAGACACTATAGGAAAACTTTAGTTGTTTTGTATGAGTAATTTTTTAAAGCATGATTTCCTTGCACATAACTGGGAACAATAATGGAAGACGTCCTTTACTTAAGTAACAGTAGCAGGCTTCTACAATTAATCAGAGTCTTACATTGAAAATTTTCCTATGGAGCAGTGGTGGAAAGTAGACTATTAAAAGTACATTAATTCAAGTATTTTAAATACAACATAACTTAATTATTTAAATCTTATCCTTCTTTATACTTCTAATGCCCTACAGTTCAGAAGTAAGTATCATACTTTGACATATGAGGAGCTCATCAAATGCGATAACAATATAGAAAATAGTTCAAATGAGCTCCATCTAGACCAACTACAACAGTAAAATGCTAATGAAATGTATAACAGTAACTGTATAACACTCACATTTTTCTTCCAGTATATTTTAACAATACCTACATACTTTTCCTTAAGTGACATGTTCATTGATACTTTACTTGTAATGGAGTGTTTTTGTATTGCTGTCTGGCTACCTTTACTGAGTACCTTCTCCACCACTGATTAAGTAAAAGTACAGTATTATCATCAAAATATACTTCAAGTAACAGTAAAAGTGTATTTATTATGCAGAATGACCCATATGAAACAGTATTATATAGTAATATAGTATTATATTATAATATTGTTTTATTATTACTGGTTTACCTGCTGTTTGCAAACATAAACTACTTTACAAACTGTTGGGTGACAATTTGTCATAACACAGAAGACAATCATATATTTTGTCTGTAAAATCTTAGTTTGCAAGGGAGACAGTAACTATAGCTGTCAAAAAATGTGGGGTAGAAGTATGAAGTGTAGCATACAATGGAAAGTACCAGTACCTCATAATTTGTTACAGCACTTGATTAAATGTACTTAGTGAAAGTGTGTAAATAACATTTCATTACCATTATACAGATTTCTCAACAGTTTTGTGTTTTGCTGCTATGTTGATCATAAATGCTCTGTGTGAATGGACCTCCAGTTGCCACGCTCTGACAATAAAAGCATCTGTCTGTTCATCAACAAGTGCACAGACTATTATAAGTAGGTATACAAACACATAACACCCGGCACTTATCAGTGAGTGAATTGAACCACTTGTTCAAGTGAGTTCCTGGCATTGTGGAACCACTTTATGCACTTGCTATATTTTTCCTGCCTGACTGCTTTTTATTTTGGCATCTCTGGCTTTGCTTGAAAACTTCTCCAGCTACTATCAAGCGAGTATGACTCAGAAAAGCTGTGCTCCTCTGGCATGTCTCCGCTATCGATTCATTGCAGAGGAAGTTGCTGGGAGTATGTCTGCTGTTTCCTCAGTGCTCACCTCCTCCTCCTCCTCCTCTGCCTCTGTTGTGTTTGATTTTCATTAAGTTCATCTTTTGGTCTGTGTTCGGGTCACAGAGGAGCTGTGACTCAAGCCAATGAAACGTGGCAGCAAAGTGACTGCAGTCCATACAACTGTGCAACATCCTGAGTTTGATGGTGTGACTCAACTTTCATGTCCTGTTAGTGGAGTTAATCAGGTGAAGCAGGTGGAGATAGTGTTTTTTTTTATATGAGAGGCTCCAGTGGGTTGTTGATGCTTGTTTTGTGCGCAAGAGGACTGTGTGTGATGCTGTGAATAAGACTGATATATAAGGGTCCACTGAAGGAAATATGATGAACTAAAACTGCTTTCATACACTGACTGTGTGCGCATTATTTTCTTGAGCCGGCGCAGCTTCTGGGAAGCAGTAAAAGATCTGCAGAGTTTTGGTAAAAAGACAAATTGAATAGAAGCACCACATTTAAATAAAACTACTGCACTTCACCAGGTTGTTCAGAGTCACTTGTTGACAAATTGACTGACACTTTTACAGTCTTGAGCCTCTGTAAGTTTAAAGCTATAAAATGATAAATTGTTGTACAGTGAAGCGTACTGTCTTGGACACAAACTCCTCATTTCTTTCCCCCGGTGGAGCTGTAAAATCACCCTATAAATTCAGCATTTTTGCACTTTGCACTTAATGTCTGTGACTTGTGAATGAAGGCTTTTTGATTAAAGAGACCCTGGCACCATTTGAGGCATAAAAACATCTGTGAGGAAGGCAAGATATGATTCATTATCAGAGTAAATCTCAGCCACCTGGTTTGGACTCCTGACCTCACATCTGCTCTGGCAACCAAAAATCGCCAGGAAATCTCTCTGACTGCAGACTGAACTTTCTTTTTTCCTTCTCCAAGTATTCCTAAAGCACTGTGCCATTTATATGTGCCATTATTTATATATTGGTTTCATGAGTTGAATTCTACATGCGAAAGATAACACAACTGAAATTATCCTTGTTTTTCTTCAGTGTCTTGTTCAAATGAGATCATCACATTAGTGGAAAATAGCATCTCCCCCTTGAAACGTGTCTGCCCTCCTCCAGACTGTTACAGCTATCAGTGGTATAATGGTGACCCATTTTTTTTTGTCTGGTGAAGAAACAAATCCGTCTGACAGCTGGAGATCTGGCTGACTTACCATATGTTTGTCCAGCAGAGGACTCAGGCGCAGGCGAGCTATTGGATATGTTTTGGTTGGAGATGACACTGAACAGAGACACAAAGAGATGAGGTAGAAGTAGAAAAAGTAGAACTGAAGCTAGAGGCCACAGTTTAATTTGATCCCCCTGTCCCGGACGTTTTATAAATTTACACCACGCAGAGTCACCAGAGTGTCTGCATGTTGTCTTTTGAAGGCCACAATTCTTCTTGACAAGTTTATACCCACTGGCCACACACCATTTGTGTGTTCTTTAAGTGAGATCACAGCCTGAGCTCTTTGTTTGTATTATACTTTGAAGCTCGGACTGAGGCATGGTTGTATGGATTGGTCGATCCACCACTTTGGTCCAGACTGAAACATCTCAGTACATCTATTGATCTAATGGATCCTATTGACTTTGGTGATTCCTTTACTTTTCATGTAGTAAATTTATCCAGTGAAATATCTCAACATCAACATCACACCTAAGGACAAGTTTGGGTCACTAATCAACCTAGTTTGTATGTCTTTGGACGGTGGGAGGAAGCTGGAGCACCCAGAGAGAACTCCACAGAAAGGCTGGGACGACCGGGGTTTGATCCCGGGACCTTCTTGCTGTGAGGCAACAGTGATGCCCCTCATGACTTTCATGAATCCCAAATTTTTCCTCTACACCACCATGAGGTTCATATTTGAGGTTAATTTAGCAGTACGATGAGATTGAGGTAGGTGGAAACAACCGCCTGTAGTGTTTCGTACATGGTATGGTATGGGTGTTGAGGATTGGAGGTAGCTGGGAGCTGCGGAGGCAGCCACCAATTCAAAATATAGAACACTGAAGCTGTCTGAGAGCATCTTTAGTCTTGTTTGTTTTCTTTTATTCTTGGTAAACACTGTAGAGTTTCTCCATTTTACTTGTCAATCATATTGGTGGTACTGGGTGGCACGCAGGAAAAGTTACTTTTATTTGTGTGTAAAATGCTGCATAATGTCACTGGAAATTCAGTTCACTCATCTCACACTTTTTATACATCGGTGACAAAGTTGTCCTTATGAATCCATCTTGCAATGTAACAAATTACCTACTACTCCCCAAGCTGCTATTTTTGATGCCAAAAGAGTTGTGTTGAAAAAGACAAAGAGCACAGGGAATTTAAAAGAAGGTGACACGGATTGAATATTCCTACCACAGGCTTATATAAGCCTTTCAACCCCATGTGCTCTGCAGCCGTGCAAGTAATTTGGAGCAGATTCGACTGCAGCCCTCCAGCTCGGGGGTTTTGGGTAGCTCACTCTGCTCTGGCTGTGGAACATGTACAGTTTCATTGGGCTCTGGCTCAAATAACCGATCATAAAAAACAGAGGTCGGGGGGTTTGGGGGTGGAAGAGAAGGAGGAGCCTGCAGTGGCTTGATGAAGTGACCACAGACTACTTGTACTGTGGTGAGGGTCTTTCCTGAACTTGCTTATGCTGGTGGTTGGTGGGTGGTGTTTGGGGTGGAGGGTGGAGCAGCAGTGGAGACATTGTTCATTAAGATTTCACTGGTGTCTATGTCTCACTGTGGCGTATGCAGGATAACTGGAACCAAGTTAAACCTATGTAGAATTAGAGGAAATATAGCACCAAAGTCAAAGCCCAGAAGGCTTCTCGTTTTTTGTTTCCATCTCTGTGATAAAAATAGGGTTATGTTTATGTTTTTGTTTGTTTACAATAGTTCACCCAAGTGAAATCAGTTGTGCAGATAAAGCGCAGAATGTTTATTTTGTCATTTATAAGATGAAATATCATGTGTTTACCATACAAGATGTGAGTTTCGCATGTGAAAAACAAATGGCCTTTGTGTCATGCTTGGCACCACGCGGACATGAACTGTTAGAACTCTTGATGTTTTTCTGAGCTCAGACCCAGATCCACTCCACCAGCTGTGTTAAGCTATGACTCTCAGAGTCGTCCATCTTGGATTTTATGAGAGGACTTTTTTTTGTACACCATTTTCCAGGCCACTTCTGAAAGACAAACCTAGTCTCAGGAAAGGCAGGATGACAGATCATCACTATTTTTCAGCGTCCCCATTACTCAAAACAACACAAGCTCGGTTTGGAGAAAAGGATT